ATTATTCACTCTCTTCACAACATTTGTTGTTGCCAGTTTCACCTCTTGTCGTATAAGGTCTTTCACTGCTTTGGAGACCGACGCTTCTACTTTGTGTCCTATCAGTTCCTTCAGTTGTGCAGTAAGAACAGAAATGTCTAAGTCTGCTTTAAGGGGTGCATTTAATTTTGAAATTAAGGGAACATCAATAGAATTTGAACAAGTATCATTTTCACACGAATTTACTAGTTGCAGATGAAAATTCAGCATCAAAGCAAAAAGAAAAAGAGTATGTCCATTTACCATGTTTACCATCTTGGAAACCATACCTCTGTTGCAGGTACAAAGTTTTAAGTTCAATTTATGTTTTACGGAGGTTTTAAAGCAATGGTTTGACAATCCTCCAAAATGTTGTTTATAAAATCCAAATGGAAAAAGCTTTATAAAAATAATTTGAGAACTTTTATTGTTTGTAAAACCTACATAGAATTAACCACTTTAAATGAAAATGGTTTGAAAATCATCAAGACTTGTGACTGTTCTTAAAATTTATATTGGAAAATCTTTTATAAACATAGTTTCAGAAACCTCAAAAAGAATATAATTAGCTGTTATAAAATCTATGAGGGAATTGTTTAGCTTACCACTAATGAATTGTCTTTTATTTTAAACATACTTGTAAGAACTTTATATTGAAATGCGCAGATGGAAACATTCTGTAACAGACATAACATGTACAAGAATAAGCTGTTTGTACTTTTATTTTTTTAGATTTAAAATGCAACATGCAAAGTCAAACATATTTTTCTATCAGAACTGAAAAAAGTATTCTAATCTTTTGTTTGTATCAGTATATTATCAAATGAAAATGCAGTGTGAGTATATTCCAACATTATTTTTAGCTCACCTGGCCCAAATAGGCCAAGTGAGCTTTTCTCATCACTTGGCGTCCGTCGTCCGTCGTCGTATGTTAACTTTTACAAAAATCTTCTCCTCTGAAACTACTGGGCTAAATAAAACCAAACTTGGACTAAATCATCCTTAGGGTATTTAGTTTAAAAAAATGTATCCGATGACCCCGTTCATCAACCAAGATTGCCGCCATGGCTAAAAATAGAACATGGGGGTAAAATGCAGTTTTTGGCTATTATCTCTGAAACTAAAGAATTGAGAGCAAATCTGCAAAGCAGTAAAAATGTTCATCAGGTCAAGATCTATCTGCCCTGAAATTTTTGGACGTATCAGACAACACATTGTTAGGTTGCTGCCCCTGAATTAGTAATTTTAAGGAAATTTTGCAGTTTTTGGTTATTATCTTGAAAGTTATAATAGATAGAGATAAACTGTAATTAACAAAATTGTTCAGCAAAGTAAGATCTACAAATAAGTCAACATGACCAAAATTGTCATTTGACCCTATAAGGAGTTATTGCTCTTTAAATAAGTTTTTCACAATTTTTCGTAAATTTTTGTAATCTTTTACAAAAATCTTCTCTTCTGAAACTACTGAGACAAATTTAACCAAACTTGGCCACAATCATCCTTAGGGTATTTAGTTTAAAAAATGTGTCCGATGACCCCGCCTGTTGACCAACATGGCCGACATGGCTAAAAATAGAACAGAGGTAAAATGCAAGTTTTGTCTATTATTTTGAAAACCGTTATTAATAGAGAAATTCTGACAAGGCAAAAATGTTCAGAATGTTGAGCTCTACCAACTGTCTATTATGTCAAAATTGTTAGACAACTTCTAATAGGAGTAATTGCCCTTAAATGACAAATTTTACCATTTTTTTCATTTTTGCATATTATCTTGAAAACTATAATAGATACAGAGAAACATGAAAATTGCAAAAATTATCAGCAAGATGAGTTCTACAAATAAGGTCACATTGTCGAAATCGTCAGCCTACTCCTTATGAGAATTTATGCCCTTTGATGATGATTTTCACAATATTTTGCGTTTTTTTGCCTTATTTCTTAAAAATTATAATAGATATATAGATAGAAACAAAATAAATAGGCAAAAATAATCAGCAAGACAAGATCTACAATTAAGACAATATAGAGGAAATTGTCTGATCTACTAAAAAGTCACATTTTGCTGATAAAGGTAGTAGGCTGTCACTCTTTATAGGAGTGATTGCCCAGCCCCTTAAATATAAGGATTTGTTTACTCTCTTTTGTGTTTTGAGCAAAAACTAAAGAAGATAGAGAGAAACTAAACAGACTAGATAATCAGCAATACAAGATCAACAAAACAGAGATTTTTCTTATGAATTCTATTCTTGTCTTCAATGTTGGAGAGTGTCCTTTGTTGAATATGCACATAGACCCAGGTGAGCGACACAGGCTCTTTAGAGCCTCTAGTTCTAATTCATAGCCAATTAATTTTCTTTATTGATTGATAAGTGGTAAAAAGAAATTCTATTTGATGAAATTCAATGATCAATTATGAAATCAAATTTTTGTGCCATCCTTTTATGTGACATTATGACACAGCCAAAAAAAAAAAAAAATATAAGACATTTTACAAAAAGACATTTGATAAAATTAAGAATGGAAATTGGGAATGTGTTAAAGAGACAACAACCCGACCAAAGAGCAGAAAACAGCCACCAATGGGTCCTCAACACAGCGAGAAAATCCCGCAACTGGAGGCAAACTTCAGCCTGCCCCTAAACAAAAATGTGTACTAGTTCAGCGAAAATGAACATCACACTAAAAGTTTGCCAACTCAGCTCTCCACCTCTCAAAATATTTAAAACATTGTGAAGTCTTACATTTTAAATATTTTGTTCATGTGAGAAAAATATACACAATTTTTAATAAATATAAATGCTTTTTGAAGGTTCAGGAAAAATGTTAAAATCTCAATGATAAATTAGTACAATGAAAGAGACTAGCTAGATATACAATGGAAAACAATGAAACCTTGAATCTTGCAATCCAGCAACCCAACTGTACAAAAAATCAGAAGACTAATTCACCCAGGTTTCATTTGGCAATTTATTTTTATTTAAAAGTCAACTTTATATATTATATAAGGAATTTGGTTTTATAATTTTTTATGTATTTCTCTATCCTGAGTGTTCTTGTGTTTATTTGTACTGCATTCCTGTCACGTATTGTTGTCATTTTAGCAGTATTTTTAACATTGCCATATAAGCAGCAGGTTTGGCTAGCCAAAAAAACAGGTTCAACCCACCATTTTTTCTTAAAAGGTCCTGTATCAAGTCAGGAATATGGCAGTGTAAATTGTTATCAAATAGTTTGTTTTGTTGCAGTTCATTGTTTCTGTTGATCCGTTGTTTTCCTCTTACAGTTGATGTGTTTCCCTCGGTTTTGGTTTGTGACCCGGATTTTTTTTCGTTTAATCAATTTATTGAACTATTGAACAGCGGTATTACTACTGTTGCCTTTATTTATGTATTTGTATCTTTCATGTAAATAAAAGGTGAATTTATGTGAAATAAAATAAAATTTGAAATTATTTGATTTGTATTTGTATTTGTTTTGGTCTCATTCATTATAGATTGGTATTCAAGGATAATCAAAAATACATTGTAATGACTGTTGTTTATATAAACAATGCTGATTAGTTTTTACACTGTGTTTGATCTCCATGATCATGATGATTTTTATTATATCTAGCTTTGGTGGTTTGATAATGAAAGCAACAATTTTGTACAGTTTGGAGAAGATTTCAATCGTATATGATGACATGAAAAGTGCACAATGACAAAATGAATCTGTCATCTAGGAGTGATGTTATACTTAACCTTGAGGAAATATTACTATTTCTCTTAGATAAAGTGTTGCTTTACACCTCATTCTTTACACCTCATTCTTTACACCTCATTCTTTACCGTCATTCTTTACACCTCATTCTTTACACCTCATTCTTTACACCTCATTCTTTACACCTCATTCTTTGTGTTTCTTCTTTTATTTTACCTATGATAAACTAATAAGTGTGGAATTAGTAAACAGTGAGTGAATTAACAAATTGAATTACAAGGGAACAAAATTATTTTTACTGCTTGGCATTTTGATCTCATGGAATTATTTGAACATTTTACTTTAGTATATATAGAATAAATATTTTGTAGATTTTACACCTGATCATTTTAACACTACATATCATTCATATAATCAAGATGTTTTAACTATTAAATTCCTGATATTAAGGTGGTACCTAACACTACAGGGAGATAACTCTGAAAAATCATCTAAACGTTTTAATTACATTGTATTGTTAAGGAAATATTAAGCTTCTCAATGATTAAAATTAGTGTTTGTCAAACTGCTGTATATCCAATAAAATTTTTCTGAGAAAGTGATTGGTTCAAGTTTTTTGATTTTTTTTTTTATTTTTGTCAAAGGGTCAAAGTAAATATTTTGTTAAAATTTTATGAAAATTATGGTTATTATCTTGAAAGTTATAATAGATAGAGATAAACTGTAATTAACAAAATTGTTCAGCAAAGTAAGATCTACAAATAAGTCAACATGACCACGATACTTTTTCTGCAGCGCTTTGTAGAAAAATAAACAATGAAATACAAAAACATCGAGATATGACGTCACCATTAACAGTAGCCGTGACGTCATGAACCCACTATGAAATTTACTAACCCCCTACGGATCCATAGGGGTCACCACGTGACGGCGTTAAACCAATTACAACGTAATAATTTATCCGCGGTCAATAAAAAAAATGACTCCAACCCTTTTATATATATGTATAGCAGTGGTCAGGGCTAATAACACCTCAGGATTAGGTCATCTTATTGCAGAAAATTCAATGAATATACATTTATTGTATTATTGAATATATCGGGTAATTGGATATTTTTTGCTGACATTTTGGGTATTCTATTTGACAGAGTCTACAGTTTAGGTAAAAATTAGGTGAAAGATACCAGAGGGACAATTAACTTATGGAATTTTAGTATGACTGATGAAGAAAAGTGCTCCTGACTCATAAAATTTATAAGGCATTATTTCATTTTGTTCAGGGAAGGTTGACAGATGGCAAAGGGAAGACAATAGAATGTAAAGATGCCATATTTATCATGACTTCCAACTTAGCTAGTGAGGTTATAGCTGAGCATGCATTACAACTGAGGAAAGAAGCTGATGAAATGGATAAACAGAAACATACAGGAAAACTTGGTTTGTTAAATATGAGTAAAAAGAAAGTGTGGGTGATATACCAATGAGAAAAAAAACCAACAGCATAAATAACGAATATTTGTGCTTTATGGCATTTGTATGTCAATTTTTAAATACAAAATAAATAAAAAAATGAATGATATATGATTTATCTACTTGAAAATAGATCTTTTAATGATTTCAAAGTAAAAACTGTCTGCCTCAATTCTGAGAGTGTAATTACCATGTTTAATTTTGGACTGCACTCTGACATCCTACATCCCTAAGAGTCCCAAAAAAGATGTCAAAGTTTATAGAGCAAACTTGCTCTAATGCATGCATTGTTTCGATAATTTTGTTAACATTATTATCACCCAGAAACCTGTTTCCTATGACTTTTAATTTCTTTTTTTTTTATATTTGTTTATATATAATTACTTCAATTTCCATTTTGCAGAGGATTTAGAATCATCAGAAAGAATAACTATATCCAGAAGGTTTAAAGACCAAGTTGTGAGACCCATTTTGAAAGTAATTGGATAAGTTATTATTGGTCGTAAAACAAAATTTGTAGATTTCAAAGGTATAAGTGAATCATGAATTTATGAGAGAAAAAAAAACCCTTCTTAATAAGAAAAAAAAAGATGACTAAAAATGTTAACTGAGACCAACCAAAAAAATTAGATTTCTTTTATTATGTCATCAGAGACATGATACTTGATGTTGTTGTTATTGGGTATTTATTGAAAAAGATTGGCAACGGTTGGAACATATATAGATGAGACAAGAATCTACATACGAGCCGCGTCGGATAAAAATCGACCTTATGCAAGTGCATGTATACATATACATGTAAAGACTTTAATTGATTTTGGAACAATCAAATACGAAATAAAAGATGAAATTTGGTCTGTTTTGTAGGGCTCATATATCAAATCAATTTTCAAACAGTTTAAGACTTTGCATAGAGATTTTTTCAACCAAAAATAGCTTCAATAGATGTATTAATATTAATTTTGCATAAGGTCGATTTCTATGCGACACAGCTCATACTATAAATTCAGAAATTATTATTGCAATTTTTGAAGAATGGATAAAATGTTAGATTAATTATTGCAATTTCATGAAAAAACGGCATACAGATACATGTATCAAAATCAAAATGCGAGTTCTTATTATTGCAGTACTTACACAGTCGAAAAAACCTAGCAATAATTTACAGTAATTATTTATACATCCCTTGTTTTCATTTGCATAACAATTGAGCGTTACTGATGAAGGTAATTCCAGAAAAATACTGTAAAAGCACACAATTTATACAGTGTTATTTTCGTTAATTAGTTTTTTAAAGAGAAGATGCTTCATATATACACAAATTTTGAGTTCTTGGAAATTGATATGACTGACTCCAAATTAACCAATTTTGAGCCTTTTTTCAGCCTTTGGAGATGAGAACATCTGCTGAGCTTGCTGTTGATGCAAATTTTGAATAGTTTATGCCCCCGCCATAGGGGACGGGGGGATTAAATGTTACCCTGACCATCTGTCCTTCTGTCTTTCCATCCTTCTGTCTTTCCATTCCATCCATCCATTCAGTTCTCATTGCAAAGCTTGAGGGAGGGCATTCTTGTCCTCAAACACATTCTTCCTTTTTTTACAAAATAATTTATTTACTTTCAGAGACATTTCAGACGAGATGAATTTTTAGGTAGAATAAATGAAATTGTTTACTTTCTACCTTTCTCAAGATCTGAACTATCAAAATTGGTCACAAAAGAACTACAATATTGGTCTGAACAGGTAAGCACTTAGCAAATGTAGCCTGCTGGGAACCTGTATGTAGCACTATAGAAATTTTCATTAGATGATATGAATACAAGAGTTGACTGAAGCAATATCTGTTGAGATAAGGTGGGTTTCTGTTCATAAAAGTACAGACTTCATGCAGCAATGACACAACTTTGAACTTTGCAAGGAAAAAAGTGGTGAGAGAGTGGAGGACAAAATTAACAAATAGCTGCAAATAATGGGTAAAAAATTTATATTTTTTACAGTTATATCTTATTTGAAATCTTTTGTATAGGTATTTGTTTTCATCGAATCAAAATTCTAAATCTGTATTAAATCAGGGGAGATTACTCAGATAATGTAGTTTGATAAAGGAACTTACAGAATTTTGTTGTAGCAAGTTAACAAGTTAATCTAAGAAAAATCAACACCTGTCAATTCTGAAAGAAATAATCAGTGCCAAATGTGTTCAATGTAGACTTGTATGTATTAATAAAATAACTGTAATATTTCAGGCAGAGAAGAAACACAATATGAAGTTGTTATGGGATCACAATGTTGTTGATATTTTGGCTGATGGCTACGATGTCCACTATGGGGCTAGATCAATCAAATATGAGGTAAGAAAGAAACTTCCAAACAATTATTTTTAGAAGTCCTTAAATATTTGGAATTGTGGTAAGGAATGACATCTCTGAAAAATTGCTCTCTTCTTATAATTGGATTTTTTGTTTTTTTCATCTCCCCTCTTCAGGGGGCATCAAAGGTTGTGGGGGAGGTATTATGTACAAAACCCATGTAGGTAAATGCTATGATCTAAGAAAAAAAAATATGTCTGCTGCCTCCATTCATAGGGGAAAATGCTGAGGCTTAATTTTCCAACCCTACCATGTGCTGTTAACTCATCAGATACTAAGCTTATAATTTGTTACGCCAGATGCACATTTCCTCTACATAAGACTCATCAGTGACGCTCAATATAGAAAAGTTGGAAGTCCAAATCATTTATGAAGTTGAAGCTCATAAAAAAATTGAAATTCTGAAAAGTTGTGACAAATGCGGCTACAGCAAAGGATGCAAGGGGTAGAAAAACCTTAAAGTATTTGAGTTATTCAACATTTTTAAACAAAAAATGTTTATTCATAAAACAAGAACATATCACTTATATTTCATGTTAACACAAAAGTGCAGACTACTTGGCTGGTGATACCCTGGTGGAGGAAACATCCACCAGCAATGGCATTATATAGTTCATTACAATTCTTATTACTTTTACAGGTAGAGAGAAGAGTGGTTACCCAGCTTGCCATGGCTCATGAGAGAGGACTAATACAGAAAGGTTGTGTGATCAAACTTGCTGCTTCACATTCTCACGATTTGATCAAATCGACAGAACAATCAGATAAAGACAAAAATGTTCCTACTATATCACTACAACTTCAAAAGAAAGGAAAGAAAGAAGAATATATTGATATTAATTTTAAGAATGAAGAAAACCCATTTGATATTGGCTTTAAGTAATCAATATCTGTTCTCTAATTCTTTGTGTAGAAGATATTATCATTGCAAATTTTTTTCTACTGATTTTTATAGTTTGTTTTCATGTGCTGATAAACCACTGTCCCAGGTTAGGGGGAGGGTTGAGCGCTCACAAACATGTTTAACCTCGCCACATTCTTTATGGGCCCATGCCAAGTCAGGAGCCTGTAGTTCAGTGGTTGTTATTGGTTCATGTCTGTCATATTTGTTTTTCCTTAATTGTTTTGTTATAAATTAGTCCAATAGTTTTCTTGATCGAATTGTTTCATAATTGGCATGTCAGGGCCTTTTATAGCCAACTATACGGTATGGATTTTTATACGACCGCAAATTGCGGTCGTATATTGGTATGACGTTGGCGTCGTCGTCATCTTAGTCGTCCCAAGACACATTGGTTTCGCACTCTAACTTTAGTTAAAGTGAATGGATCTCTATGAAATTTTACCATAAGGTTCAATACCATAAAAGGAAGGTTTGGATTGATTTTCGGGGTTATGGTACCAACAGGTAAGGAATTAGGGGCCAAAAAGGGGCCAAAAATAAGCATTTTTGTAACCTCTAGACATAACTTGTGTGTTAGTGTATGGATCTCTCTGGCATTGTACCAAAAGGTTCCATATTACAAAGGGAATGCTGGGATTGATTTTGGGGGTAATTGCCTCAAAATTTTAGGAATTAGGCGCCAAAAAAGGGGCAAAAAACAAGCATTTTTCTAGTTTCATGACGATAACTTGTGTGTAAGTATATGGATTTTTCTGAAATTGTGCTACAAGGTTCCATATGATAAAGGGAAAGCTGGAATTGAGTTTGGGGGTAATTGCCCAAAATGTTTAGGAATTTTGGGGCCAAAAAGGGGCCAAAAATAAGCATTTTTCTAGTTTCCAGACAATAACTTGTGTTCAAGTGTGTATCTCTCTGAAATTGTACTGCAAGGTACCATACCACAAAGGGAAGGCTGGGATTGAGTTTGGGGGTGATGAATCATAAGGGGGTTAAAAAAATTTGAGGGAGGGATTTTTTTTTTCCTTTTTTTTTCTTTAAAATTTTCCATTTTAAATTGGTTATTTCTGATTCTTATATAAAAGCAAATAATAATGATATGGTTTGAATAGGTAAATTAAAAATTTTTAAGTTCTTATACCACATTCATTCTGTGTCAGAAACCTATGCTGTGTCAAATATCTAATCACAATCCAAATTCAGTGCTGTATCAAGCTTGAATGTTGTGCCCATACTTGCCCCAACTGTTCAGGGTTCGACCTCTGCAGTCGTATCAAGCAGAACCCAGCGGAGTATTTTATTCTCTTTGTTGAAGACAGTACAGTTGCCTATCATTGCTTACATCCACTTTATTAGATCTTTGGTGGATAGTTGTCTCATTGGCAACCATACCAAATCTCCTTATTTTTATATATTTTACATGTCCAGACATGTACAGTTATCTGAATGATACATCCTTTTTTATACCCCTCCCTACAAAGTTAGGGGGGTTGCATTCATTAGTCAGTCAGTTGTTAATGTTTCCATGCTTACACAAATACTTTATATTAGATTGCAACCTTTCTTTTATATAGTCACATGTAATTATAAGAAGATCCATATTGATTTTGAGGTCACCATATCATAGTTCAAGGTCATATGAATTAACAGTGTTTGATTAAAAGAAATAAGCGAATGTATTTATAGAATGAATTTCAATGATAAATCCATAATGAAGCCACATTTAATTTTCAAAAGTTTAAAGTTATTGTAGCCTAGAGCATTTTCAAGTCATTTGACCACTACTTTTACCATCACTCTGCGCCTGTCATTGTTGTCTGAAAACTTAAATAACTAGAATTATAAGATATATGCATAAATGAACTGGTCAATTAATCCTTTTTAGGAGTTATTGCCCTTGAAGGATGATTTTTATCCATTTTTTGCATTTTCGCAGTGAACAATAAGTAAAAATGATAAATAAAGTAAGGTCTATGATAAGTCAACATGCCTGAAGTCTTCAATTGATCACTTATGTGAGTTTTTGCACTTGAAAGACTATTTTTATCCATTTTTTTCAGAAACTTAAAAAGGAAGAGAGAATCTGAAAATATCAAACGTGCGTTCAGCAAAATAAAGACTACAAAAAAGTCAAATGGATGAAATTATCAACCTAATCTTTATAGGAACTTTTATCTCAGAATGACAATTTTTACCATTTCTTCGCATTTTTGTCAAACATTATAGTTGATACAAAGAAACTCTAAATTGCAGAAATTACCTCTTAACACATCAGATAAATTAACATGGCTGAAATTGTCTGTAGAATTCTTATAGGTGTAATAACTCTTCAATGACAATTTTTTCTATTTTTAGCTCACCTGGCATAAATGGCCATGTGAGTTTTTGCCATCACTTTGATTCCAACATCATCCGTCCTCTGTCTGTCATCAACCTCTTTTCAAAGATCTTCTCTGAAACTGTTGAACTAATTTCAACTAAAGTTGAGGTTAATAATCCTTAGGGTATCTTGTATAAAGTTTTTTCCCCTAAGTCATTCAATACACACGGCCCCCATGGCTGAAAATAGAACATGGGGGTGCAATGCATTAATATCCTTATTCAAAAACCATAATAAATTGAGAAAATCTGATGAGGCAATAATGCTCAGAATGTCAAGATCTAAGGACTTCTCCAATTTCATCAAAATAATCAGATGACTCTTAAAGAGTTATTGCCTTTAACGACAATGTTTTGCAATTTTCCGGTTTTTGCATTTCTCAAAACCTATATCAGCAATATATACAAGATCTACAAAATTTCTTATATGACCAAAGCCAAAACAAATGCCGGGTGAGCAGTAAAGGCTCCTTGGAGCCATTTGATTGTTTGTTTTTGTCTATAATCTTGAAAACTATAAATAAAGGCAACAGTAGTATACCGCTGTTCAAAATTCATAAATCAATTGAGAAAAAACAAATTCAGGTCACAAACTAAAACTGAGGAAACACATCAAATATAAGAGGAGAACAAAGACACAACAGAAACACTAAAATGCCAATAGATTATTTTATTAAGCTCATATGATCAACTAGACAAATTCTTCAAGTAAGCCAACATTGCCAAAGTATGGGTGGACTCTTTCTTGTAGATTCTGCCTCTGAGTGATAATTGTCAGCCATGCGTTGTGTTTTTTAGGGAAACTTAAGTTGATATGTTTTGTAGACTGTTTTATTTTTGTTGTTTTTCACCATGGCATTGTCAAATTGTCTTCAACTTATGAGTTTGAATATCTCTTTGGTATCTTCCGCTTCTCTTGATAAAGAATACTGTAAGTAGCATAAATGATCATCAACATTTTAATTGATAAGTTAAAGTGAAAAAAATTGGTAACTGGGCATTATTGCCCTATGATTTTTACCAAATATTTTTGATACTATATAAGATAAAGACTAAAACTTTGGATAGCAAAAACAATCAGCAACATAAGATCAACAAATAAATCAATAAAAATGAAATAGTCAATCAGTTCCCTACAGGATTTGTAACCTAGAAATCTCAATTTTAACCCATGTTTTTCCATTTCTTCTTATTATCTTAAATATCATTTTGTATTTACAGAAAATAGGTCTAGCGAAAATTATCAACAATAAAAAAAATTTGCCCACACAGTTTCTATATTTTTTGTTTGTAAAAATAACCAGTGAGCAATATACTCTCCTGGGACTCTTTAGTTTTGTCTTGTATGCAATGTAATCTTATTACTTGGGTTTGGTCAATGGTAAAAGATTTTATGTAATTGATCAATCTGTTATAATATGTTTTTTTTTTTTTACATTTGTTGAATGTTAATGACATAACTGTATGAAATTCATTAATTGGCCTAAAATTTTTCACTAAAATTTGTACTGGTAATAGTAGATTGCTTCGTTCTTATGCCTGTATGTAACTTGGAATAATACTGCTGAAAAATTAGTTGCAATGTAACAATGAAAGTAGTAATTGTCTCATAGAAAAAAGTAAGATAACAAAAATACCGAACTCCGGGCAAAATTCTAAACGGAAAGGCCCTAAGCAAATGGCAAAATCAACTGCTCAAACACATCAAACGAATGGATAACATTTTTCTTTTGTAGAAAATGCCTGTACCAAGAATAGAATAGACACTGTAAAGCATTTTTGCAGAAAAAAAGAACAAAAGAAGCTGATTGGCATTTTTCAAATGTTTTTATTCCATTGCTATAGGCTACTACTACTACTACTACTACTACTGCTTCTACAGTCCTTTAGTCTGTCCTTCCGTCTGTCACATTTTCCTTTTTGCACTCTTAACTTAAGTTTTCCTCATCCAAATTTTATTAAACTCATACACTCATACATATGCTAAGAACCAAAACTCATGGACAGATTTCTTATTTGGGCAGTAAGTCACTTACTGTTCTAGAGTATGCCCTTTAAAACTTGGAAAATTGCAAACTTATTCGTTTCCGCACTGTAACTTAATTTATCTCTTCCAAATTTGATGAAACCATACGCAATGCTAAGAATCACAACACACAGAAAGACTTCGAATTTGGGCAGTGAGTCATTTACCGTTCTAGAGTTATGCCCCTTTTTAACTTGAAAAATTGCTAATTTAAGTTTCTGCACTCTCAGTTCAGTTTGTCTCATCCAAATTTTTATGAAACTCATACACAATGCTAAAAACCAAAACACACAGACTGAGTATAATTTGGGCAGTGAGTCCTTTACCGTTCTAGATGCTTTTTTTTAACTTGAAAAATTGCAAGGCTTGAGTGGGGCATTTGTGTCCTCAGACACATTCTTCAATGAGCTTGATGTTTTTAAATCACAAATAAACTTCAAATTATATCAGTCATACAATTTTCGTGACAAAAGTCTCCTTCTCTTTTCTTATGACCTTATAATCTGAAGAAAAGATTCACAATACTTGAAAGACCATACAATTTAAGATTCTGTAATCGTATAAACCATTACATTTTTAAGTAAAATTAATATTATTTTGCAATACTTGGTTTCAAAGGCTATTTATCGTCCTGAATATGCATGAAATATTTGCCACTGGACGTTAAGCAACCAACAATCAATCAATCAAAGGCTATTTAAAGCTGTTTTCTATGTTCATAAAATGAAATGTGTATTGCAGGCAATCATTAATGATGTATGAAATAAAATTGAAATATCTAGCCTTATTTTTCTCTTGCCTGCATAGAAAGTAGCAGAACGCGAGACAGTGATTACAATCTGGCAACATATTAAATTTTGTGTAAAGCTTTATATTTCAGAGGAAGAAGTCCTGGATGTTTCATACATTGTTTGTAGCTGCCTTGTAATACAAAGTTTTTGTCTTGTCAAATGTCAACTGCCCTTGTCCTCATTTTCATGTTCCAGCGACTGCTCCAAAAATGTATTAGTTATTTTGTCATGTAAAGTTCTCACTTATGAGTAATATGATAACAATATTTGGTATATGGGGTCCTTTGAAAGTCTTCATTTCTATTAGACAGGTATGCCTCACCTCGACCTCATTTCATGAATCTGTGATCGAAGATAAAGTTCCGTGATTATGTCTGTTTCTCAGATGTTATAAGCTGTAGGTCACTCAAATACATGTGGTGTACGAAATGATTGTATGGTTTTCATGTCTGTCTGGTAGGTTTCATCAGACCTTTATGTCATTTTCATGGTTCAATGGTCAATGTTAGGTTTATATATGCCTGTCTTTAAAGACGGGACATTTTATGGTACACAGTTGTCTGTCCATCTGTCTGGACAATAACTCAAAAAAGCTTTATTCAATTTTCATAAAACTTTGGTGAATTGTTTATATATAGTGACGTAAGCTTCCCTTCGATTTTATCAATTTTAGATTTTGCCTTTCCGAGTTGTGGGATTTTATTCATAAAAAACTGTTGGTATGTCTGACGTCCATCGCCAACACTTCGGACAATAACTCAAAAACGCTTTAATCGATTTTCATGACTCTATGGTGAATTTGCTTATATTTATTGATGTAACCTCGATCTCGATTTTTATAAATTCTATGCATAAAAAAAATTCTTAGTGTGTAATTTAAATTCTCAGTGTATGTTTTTCAGTTTTTTAATCTTGGTGCTTTTTTTTTTTAATTCTCAGTGTAAATTTTTCAAAAAATGACTCAGACATAGTTTTGAAGAGAACTGCTTGCCATAATCAATTCAATTACTGAAAATTCAGAAATTATTGCGTGCATTTATTATTGCAATTTTCAATAATGGACAAAAAGGCTAGTTTAATGCAAGTTGTTATTATTTTTATACTCAGTAAGTCGAATTATTTGAGTTAATAAAAACCTTGCAATAATTTCTGAATTTACAGTATCTAAAAGGATTTTAGGCTATAAATAGTTTGGTTTAATGTGTAAATAAAATAGGTGTGTATTTTATAGACATATTTTACACATTTTATTTTGGGTTTCAACATCATGATCATGAACTTGCACAATACGCCCCCCCCCCCCCCCCCCCCCCCAAAAAAAAAAACAATCAGCCACCATCCTCCTCCAAAAACGATGAGTTGTGAAACAACAGTACAAAATATACTATACAGAAAAATTAAAATTGAGCATCATGAACCTCTACAAAAACTAGGGATGGAACTTAAAAAATTGAAAACAACACGTTTAATAATTTCATGCATCCGAAGCGCTTTTTTGGGTTTACCTTCATCAGGAACGCTCAAAGCCAAACATTTGAAATCCGAGGGATGTATAAGTACCAAAACAGTTGAAGAGCTATATGACAAAAATACATAAAACAAATAGCCAAATTCATCTAAGGTCAACTTTGCCTGAGGGAGTTGAAATCTTAGTTTCTTTATAATTTCAAAATTTATAAACGGAATGCACAGAATGTTCAGTAATTTCTGAAATGACACACAATCTACTATACTTGTACTTGCTATATGAAATGAATAGCACAACTGTCGACTTAGATATGTTTCATCATCATCATCACCATCGTCGTCGTCGTCATCATCATCGTCGTCGTCATCATCGTCGTCGCCATCGTAATCATCTTCATCGTCATCATCGTCGTTATCTTCATCATCATCGTCGTCGTCATCGTCATCATCATCATGCACCTGTACAGTTAAGATCAAACACATCGGAAAACTTACGCATTATACAATGCTTCAGATTGAGGGGTTCAAAACAGTTTTTCATATATTTATAGATCTAGAGAATCGGGTGTATAGTATATAGTAGGGGCTATATTGCATTCAAATCCGTTCGTCCGTTCGTCCAACAAATGTTTCTGTCACACTATTTTGAGCTTCATACCAAAAGAATGACTTCATATTTGGTAAGCAGATTGATGTGTTGTAACGTGAGATTACTTTTTGGATCTTCGAGGCATTTTGATGTAAATAACGATGCTAAAATGTTAGAATATTTTGCTGTAAGCGTTCCTGATGAAGGTAAACCAAGAAAATAGCTTCAAACGCACGAAATGCATGAAGTGTTATTTTCATTAATTTGAACAATCTGAAGTAATACAATTAGCATGCATGAAAAAACTTATTAAAACAACATAACAAAAAATATTCTTCAGTGAAATTTTGATGTTATTTTCGAGAAATACAGCTGTCAGTTGTACACAAATGAGGCAAAATATATAACCAAAATTGTTTTCTACATGTTTTTACTCAAATTTTTTTGGTTTGAAAAAACAAGATATTCTTATTAATTGACCTTTATTTTTTAATTTTGTGGCCATTTTAAAATTTTTCAAATACATCATGAAGAAGATGTTCAAATATTATTAAGGAACGTTTAATGTTTTTTCAATCATTTGAAAACTAATCCAGGAAACCAAAAACACGCAGACAAGTTTCTGCAGTACAAATTTAATCCACAACCTTAATGACATATATATATATATAATTACGTCTAAACAAGTCTACGACAGATCCATCCATTGGATCACCAGTGAAGGTGATACACGGCTGAAAACACATATTATATTGATAATTACCCTAAATATCAGCACAACAATGTTAAATCTGCAAATTGTTCTTCCCTCGCCGGGATTCGAACTCATGCTTTTGGGATATCGAGACAACACCGCCTGCACTGTGTCCAGCGCTCTAGACTACTCGCCCACCTAGACCGAACTAAAAATCCAGCTTTCAGTGGCCTAGTATTACCTTTCCTCGTCAGTATAATCTAGAGTTGTAACACGGTACATGATATATTAGGCATGAAGATGGAATTAATTGCAGATTAGATAAAGTATCTGTCTTAAATGATCGTAAGATGTAGTCGCAGAAATAATTATTTGATAAGAACGTCTAAACAAGAGACAACTATATAAATAAGAAAGCAGAAATCTTTTCAAACACAGATAGCTAGGTACGTATCTCGAATTATTATTTTTTTTTATCTTTTAGTATTCTGGGTTATATAACTTGCTAAATCAATTTTTACAGACCAGATAAGAGGAGACAACTCTTTACCCTATAGTGTACCAATGTGCTTTAGGTATGATTTTTTCCAATTTGTATTGCTAGGTTTTAAGCAGCTAGCAATCAATTGATCCAATTTGTATATACATAATATTTTTATTTTAAAAAAAAGCAATCATATATTCTGAATAGATTCGTTGAATAACAGCATATATGTTTACAATATCTTAAATATCTACATGTGCCAATGTTTTAAAAGCCTGTAAACAAAATAGAAAATCGAGAACAAATGGTACCCGTGATAACAAAACAGACAAACATGTTCAGAGTAAAAATTTAATATTAAGATTAGGTCATAACATGGCTTGACAGGCATCCTTTCTCTAAAAACAACTCCATGATTGCCCATTTCATTTCAATATTCACATTTCTCTTCAATCAGCTGATTATAACGCTCCATCAAACCTTTAAAATACTTTACTGTTTTGACCTTAAGTTCTAAAGTTGCATCTTCATCACAGATAAAAATCGTCTGCGGATGCTGCTGGAATGCTGAGACGGTCCACATGTGATTGACCCCCTCTTCTATGACCTTGTGTAATGCGTAGGCTTTGTGGGCTCCTGTGATCAGTATCATCACCTGTATAAAATCATATAAAAGGCACTGTAAAAGCTAATGAAAGAATATATTTTTTTCTTCAAGGACAGACCTTTTTTCCTATTTTAAAGTCTGTGATTCTCCCTCAATGCAAAGCTATGAAAACTCACAAACGTTTAACTAAATTGATTTGCAATGTCATCAACTGCAAACGAAAATTGAAATTATTTGAAATTGATCAACGATGAAAGTTGATCTAATTTTACAATCAGATAAATTAATATGGATTATTTAATAGCATATGCATGTGCAATCAATCCAGTTGTGTGTAGTATATACTTCGCCATGTATACAGGAAAAAAACCTTGAAAACAATGTTCTTAACTATTAGTTAGTGTAGTTCCTTATATATTAATACAAACTTAGAAGCACACAGGAGGCACATATGAATAACAGGAAATGGGGATTATATAACAATGAGACAACATCAAAACAAAGCAAAACTTTCACGAATGAAAAATTAACCAACTGAAAACGATGCAAGAGAGTAGATCCGAAAAACAAGGATACAATTTACAGGCACATTCCCACATATTATTATCTACCGACATAATTGAATGAGAGGGCGCTCCTGTCAATCAAATATTTTCATTCAAACCAGAAGAAAGGATATGTCGATATACGTTTATGAGACATTAACGCTGCGACAAAACTAAAAACCGAAAGGAAGAGGACAATAGCCGGCAGCCGTAGACATGTACGAATGTCTCTACATATTGTGAAGCATTAAATCTACCTTCGACAAGGGAATTAATACATTTAACAGCGACAGTAAATATGTGCAGCATTTTGCAAAGCTGACTAATCGTTATTTAACAATGTTTCCTTATTCAATAAAACTACTTATTCATCACAGATCTTACCGCTTTCTTTAACAGATAAAATACTAAAATCTTATTTCAAAATAGTTTATATTCTAGTTATGGCAAATTATATATATATTATATATATACGTCCAAAAAATACATGAAATATTTACTCCTAGGGGATCAGAATTGTGTACCCTAATATTGTTTCACTGCTAAAGATGAAAAACTTCTATAGAAAATTCATAGCCTTTCCTCACTCTAAAATTTTATAATTCAGTACTTAATCAATGGAGGGTTACTGCATGCAGTGCTACCAGTAATTTTCATAAATTTTTATCTAAATATAGATATTAATAAAAGCTAATTACAAATACAACATATTCAAAAACACCTTCTAGGACTTTAATGACTAACCAACAGGTTTTTTTTATATTGCAAAGGTAGTTAAGCGGTTTAATAATAAACAACAGGATAACATGTACAAATAAGTAAATAATCTATGTTTAAAACAAAATTTCTGTAATAAAGTATATGGGTTTTTACGTACGATTCTAGTTTTGATTTGCTCAAAATTTTCCTATAATGAATGAAAACAGATAAATATTATTTCTGTGAAATAATGGTATATTCACAAAATGGCATGTCTATTGGTAGTTTGTTTTTATTGCACTTTGAAAATTGTGCAAAACGGATTATAAACCTGTAGCAAGCGACAATCTATCATTTATATTCTTCTTACCTCCATTGCATCAATCAGTTCAATCCTTTTTTTTACATTTATTGAATCCCCTTGCATTTGATAATATGACTCATAACATCATAAGCATTTATTAAAAGACAAACGGACAATCTAATTAAAATTAAATCTCCGCACTCGCTCATTCCCACGCAGTGACCAAGAATAAAAAAAAAATGAGCGAGTGCGGAGATTTATTTTTTATCAAATTGGACTAACTGATAATCTCCATTGCAACAAAAAAAGGACTAATTCCTTTCAAGTAGATTTACCTCTCTTGCGTCCATAACAGTTTGTATACCAACTGTTAAGGCCTGTTTAGGACAATTTCCTTCAAACACGCTAGTATCGGCAATGCTTAAGTCTTTACTAAGGATTTTAATACGAGTCCTTGACGCAAGACTGGAACCTGGTTCATTGAAACCTATATGACCATCTGGCGCTATACCTGTAAAACAAACATCAATGGACTGACTTCTGTTTTGGAAAATAATAAGTAAAAGGAAAAATTTTTCTTAACAAATAGCAACTAGTTCTATAATTTGTAGCTGATGATAATGTTGCTGTGAGTTACTTTGTAAACCACTTAACTGCTGATTTTTGTTAATTTTTATTGGTATTTACTGATCACCGGCCTTTATACACCACGTCTCCTTTTATTCATAACAATATGTCATCTTATTCATGGTGAGTCATAGTGACGACTCCTAATACGTCTAATGAATTCTTCATATTATACAAGATCACCTATCCTATGGAATACATACATACACTAATTAACAATGATATTTTCGTCAAAAGGTTCTATTGTCTCTAAATATCTGGAATATGTTCTTTCTTGTCGTGTAAATGATTATTCTAATTGTAGAACAATCGTTAATCTAATAAAAATGGCCAATAGGAATAATTTATAAACCAATAAATGGCTTATGAAAAGAACAATGTTGTTCGTACTTATCTTTCATTCAATTATGAACTTTCAATGCTGTGAAAACAAATTGCGTGGAACTGCTAATATTTGACAAAGATTACAGAACTAACGCACAAACCTAAAATATCATAACATGGCTTAACATTGGAATTGAGACATACCTCCAACAAACAGTTCAATCCCACCAGCATCTGTGATCTTTTTCTCATAATCATTACACTCCTTTATCAAATCTGTGGCATTGCCGTCAAGTATGTGGGCATTCTTTGGATCTATGTCAATGTGTTTGAAGAAATTGTGCCACATAAAGGAATGAGAACTTCCAGGATGATCCCTTTGTATAGCTGAAATTATTAGTAGTAGTCGCGTAACATGACTTGGTTACCTAAACAATTTTAAAATACTAACATTTGAGAGATTCCATTATTACGAATATAAGTAAAACTTTTAAAAACTTTCACGATTTAGATTTTCTTTTACATTTGTTTGTCTTATGTCAAGCGAAGATAGTCACATATTAAATCAGGTATGTAATTTGATCAATAATTTAAACATTGTTAGAAAATTAGTTAATTTCTAAATAAACTGGCTAGAAGACACATTGCACAAAAGTTAAATAACAAAAATAACGAACTCCGAGGTAAATTCAAAATGGATAGCCCTTTATTAAAAGCTCAACACATCAAACAAATGGAAAACAACTGTCATATTCCTGACTTGGTATTTCCTAATGTAGAAAATGGTGGATTAAACCTGGTTTTATAGCTAGCTAAACTTTTCACTTGTATGTCAGTCTCAATGTATATATATATATATTCATAATATTGATTTGATATATCTAAGTCAGTAGTGGTCATTAGTATATGCTAATCATGCTTATGACAGTATCAAGCATTACAGAATATTGTATTCAGTATTCAGGATCCAGGATTCAATATTCTATTTTAGGTTGACTGTATTTGTCAAAACATAGATATATGAATATATATTACTGTGTTACCTTTTCTCTATTCTATAAATGCATTTTAATTGTATCCAAATCATTTTAATGATTTTTACCAAATTAAAGTTGTTTATCCTGCCTGTAATGGAGTAAGGCGTAACATATCGAACTTGAACTTGAATCTTCTTGACCACTGGAAGATTACTAAAATGTTTCCATATTTCACATATTATAACAACGAATCAAATTTAAGTCATTCGAAAAGTAGCAATTACATAATTTTACATTTTTTTAAAGAGAATGTAAGGTCACTGCACATATTATTTTTGTAGATCTTGATTGCCAATTATTCCATTGTAAGTGGCCACCTATTACTCCTCACACACACCAATCCAGTCGTCACGTTTAACCACAACCGAACCAGGCCGGGCCTGTACAATTATTGTCGTGTCTGTAGAAATCGGGTCTACAGGCCGATAGGATCAAATGAAAAATTTCGTAAAATTAAACTTCTGTCCTGTGGATTCAAAAGTTTATTCTGAAGATCACACCAATATAACACACCTTTTGATAATTTATTCAAACCACTCACAGCTGTTATTATGTGTGGTTTGAATAAAACATGAACTGTCTGCAATCTAACTGTTCGATTTTGTTGATTTCTTATCATGTTTACTGGAAGAACCTGCATTTAGAAACACAGTGAACCAAATCAAAGTTTCAGTTCATGTACATGTAAAAATTCATTTGGTTGCACAAGGACATATATTTGAAATCAAAATGGAATTCGAGGCAGTTAATCAACTTTAGTTATATTACTTACACATGTACATATATATCAACAATCCTATCTGCAATGCAAAAGAGTATCATATAGGTTTATGTATCATTTGTTGTTTTCTTTTCTTCTCCTTTATACCAATACATTGTGAACAAAGAAATATGATTATAATACATGACGCTTATCTTTTATGTTATTCAACAGTTGTTTGTATATTTAGTTGTATTTATTTACATTCATATGTCATATTTTCATTTATTCAGAGACATAAAAGTAACTAATGTAACCCTCTTTAAATACAATATATATTAATTATTCTTTATTATCATTAATATTATTATTATCATTATTATTATTATTATTATTATTATTATTATTATTATTATTTTCAGAATACATAAAAAGACTTCAATTGATAAATGTTTGCAACAAGGTCATTGTTTAAATCATCATCGTACCACAAAAGAAGGTCTTCATTTCTTTATTCTTGAATTTTTTAGACCATTTTTCTATATTCTTTATTTAAGAAATAATTCATGGAAGCCATAGATTTGTTGGAAATTTACACATGGCCTGGGCAGTGATATTCGAGTTTTATCCTGAGCGTCCATGAATTATTTCGATTGTAATAGGACAAATACAGTGATTTAAAAACTGAAGCGAGGGTGGGTATGCCGTGTGTGTGGCTGTTATTTTTTTACCCCCGTTAGATAAAGCTAAAAGATTTCCAATAAATCTATAGGTTGCACGAATTATTGCTTAAATAACCGCTAGAAAAAAAATTGTTTTATATTCCATTAATTCTCAACCTCAACGTTTGCTATTTTTAATTTACATTTTTCTCTCGTAAGCTACCGTCAAATCCACATTTGACAATTGTAACTAAGGAGCCGCCATATTGACATGCTGAAATCAGTAGATGTGCGAATATTGCATTAGAATAGAAAATAAAACAACACCTACCTCAAAACTCCATTTTAATGCAATATTTTCCGAATTTCGATGGTTAACGTAACTGAAAAACCTACAGCTTTAACGTTTTCATTTATATGACATCATGTATTGAAATGACTTTAATGCGACAAAAGCATTAATGGACTTTCGCGGAGTTCTAATTGATTTTGATTTTGTATATTTCTCCGAGTTCTAATGCATTAATTCTTTTTCTTATGCATCAGAATAAGAATAAAGGTTCTGTAGTCTTTTTTCAATTGCAATTTTTAGCACAACAAAATCGGCATAGCGTTTGCAAATGGGTTACGATACATGTGGATTTACGTGGGAGGTATATCATAACAGCCATTATTATGTATATCTCTGAGTCTGCGCTAAGTATAGATATATCGAGAATTTTATCACGGTGTTGTTTACAAAGCGGAAGAAGCACGTCATATTAGAATTATCTTTTACTTGTGTTATCATTTAAGAAGACAATATACCTACCAATAGTCATAATAATTAAAGTTGTTTTTCTAAAAAAAGTTACAAGAAGGAAAACTTTTCGTTTTCCGAAAATTTAGAATGAACAGTTAACTGCAAATATTTTAATGCTTTGATAAACAATATAGTCACTGACAGTACACCTGGGTATTTTTGTGGACCACATTTATATGTGATTTCATTTTTGATGTTTTTTGTTTTCGCTGTGTTTAAAATTTCTAGGTCTGTCTATTTCCTACTTAACCTGTGAGAAAGAATCAGATATATTCTTAACTGACTTCAAAATTTTATAAAAGGACATTTTAATAAAACAATATCTATTTGTTCATGGTAATACTAGAAACTTACCACTGGGCTAGTTTTAGCCTCATATATATAATAAGGGACTAACAGTTCACAAGCAGAGATATTGAATTAGTGGTATTTATAACATAAATGCTTCAAATTTTACTACTCTAGATTTGTATTCCGGTATTTGACGTCTCTTTGGTGATGGCGAGGGCCAAAATGTTTAAAAAATTTTAAAACCATTTGCAATCTTTGAAGAGATGATAAAACCAAAACTGGACCAAAGGTTAAAAGAAACCAGTGCCAGAATAATCTTAGATTCTCATGAGGGAGATACATTTCTAAATCTAAAATTATTTTCAAAACTTAATAACAACAAACTTAAAAAAAACAAAAACATATAAAACAGTATCTTTATTGTTATGCCTTGACTGAAGTACAAGCAACTGTCATAGGCTGGTTATATCTTCCGAGACTAACAGTCCATCAGTTCTTTATCAAATGATCGTCCTTGATATATCTTAAGGCAATCAATATGGATGAGTGTAGGTGAGTTTTTTTTCTCTCGACAATGTATATGAGGACATCACCACATTGTACAGTTCTGATTCCTTGTTCAGGTTTTGCTATACATTTTGGTTTTTATTATGTTTTCGGTTTTATCAGTTTTTCAGACTTGATAATTGGTTGAGGATTTTCATATATTTTGAACTCTATCATCACTAAAGTGACAGTTATGTGTCGAAATGCCCTTCCGTTGCATCAACATTGGTATATTTTACTAAGCTGTTTTGTAAATGTAATTGTATGTCTTAGCATGCTGGGTACATGAACATATAAATACATGGAAATGTGATGTTCAACACTAATAAGAAAGTAACATAACAACAAAAAGGTGCTTGTAAATGTGTTGTCTATTTTCTCTAATATTGGTTACCGAATACTCAGTTGGAAAAATTAATAGAGCAAGCATATAATTACTGGTAAATAGTTACTTCTCATATGTAAGTGTGCATTCAAACTGGATACTGTGAATACATTATTGTTTATAGAATACACAGTTTTGTTAATTCAACTGATATTTATAATTTTCCATTTTTCTTTATATATGAAAAAAAAGTGGAATATGCATCAATAAGACAACATCTCATTGACAAAAATATATAAAAGACATCCCTTAGATACCAAACAGTCTTCAATAAACGACCCGTGTCTGTTTAATATTTCCAGCTCTAGATTGTCCTTAGTCTATAAAATTTATTTTACAGTATCAAGTGTAATTATAAGGAACCTTTTTGTGCCAACCCTGGTGTTAACAAATTGACCTTTTGTAACATGACATATCATTTTCGGTCCTTAAATCTATCCAATTTTCCTTTGGATGAATTTTTTGGAAATGACAAGCAGTATAATGACTTCATAGAAAAATTACACTGCTAATCAATAACAAAAGCTGTCTCATTATATACTTTAATTAATTAGTTCCCACAAATGAAAAACACAACAACACTATAAGAAGCTGCAACTGCTTTACATTCATTTTACATTTAAAAAAATGTAATCACACAACTTATCATTTTTTATTCACGTTTTGTGATTTGCTTATCGTTTCACTTTGTTACCAGCGGATGAAGGTATAGGCCCAGATAGCCATAAAGCTTTCAAAGAACCAGGATGTAGTCTGGTGTCAAGAACAAGACAATAAATAACGACACAATTATTGCAAGTGCTAGATTTTTGGAGGAAATCTGCATCTAATTCCTGAAAGACCTTGATAGTTGGTTTTCAATCTGTTATAGATGCAAAGAAAGAAATCATATTTTAAATGGATAAATTAATATTTGTTATTTGTTATTAACCTTTTTTATATTATGCATGCATAAGAATATGTA